GCCAATGGATTGAACAGGGTCACCACCACATTGTCCGCACTGTCCTGGGTGAAGGCGCATTCGCTGATGTTCAGCTGCAGGCAGCTCTCGAACTCCCCCTCTGGCAGATTGGTCAGCACTCGCAGGGCATCTCGAGCATTTCTGGCTCCTCCGATAATGCCATCATAGAGCAGTCGATCGTAGTCGTTGGACACCGCCTGCTTCTCCGTCCCTGTAATGGCAGCGTGGTTCTGCATTACACCCATTATTTGGCGAAGGTAATCGAGGTCTTCCTTCTGTTGCTCACTCTTCAGATCGGCAAAGACACTGAGCTGCTTGGCAGTCTGCAGCATGTGGTTGCCATCGCGCTCGAAGCGTTTTTGGGTGGGTCGAGAGGTGTAGTATCCTGTCCAGAAGCTGTTGGAGTCGCTGGCATAGGGGAAGAAGTCCTGCGTCTTGTTGGGGTAAGATTGTAGGCCCTTATGCACAGAGTTCAGGTAGCAGCCGGGCGTGGAGTAGAAGATATTGTAGTGAGATCCATTAGCTTGCCGTGCGTTGACATATCTGAAAATTGGAGCTATTTTTTCACCATATTTCAATCATATTTCAATTAATCTTACTTGATCAGCTTGTCCATGTTCTTGTAGTTTATATGGGCGTCTTCGTACTGGAAGTCCCCGCCCAAGGGTATCATGATGTGGGTCGTGCGGAACTTTGCAGCCACTTTAGCTGCATAGGCAAGGAAATCGTCTACCCTGGTTTGGACGTTGTTGTCGTAGCTGTCTCCGTCGATAATTGGATCGTCCCTGCAGAGCACGTCGAAGCAGAAGCCAGAAGTCTCCCAGTAGAAGGAGTAGAGCAGACCAGTGAAGAGCTTCGCATCGCTCAAGGACTCGCTGGCATCCCAAATCATTTCCAGTGAGAGTTCCTCCATGCGCTTGGCCTTATCTTTGGGATCCATGCGGGAGAAGAACTCTCCGTCGTAGCCCATTTGAGCAAACATCGAGGCCTGCTCACGGGAATGACCAAAAGGATCGATCTGCCAGCCAATGCGGGGACGGGCACAGGCGCCAAAGGTCTCATCCAACCATCTAAAATGATGGTTAAATGGGTTTATTTCACGGCTAATGAATACTTACTTCAAACCCAAGGAGAACTGATCAATCACACTCTGATAATTGACTGCTGCTTCGTCGTTCATGCTCCAGGCTCCAGGTCGCTTGTGGTCTGCTGGAAGCAACTGGTTAAAGAACTGTGAAACGGCGTGACGGAGACTGACAAGGACGGTGGTAAACCGTTTCTTCCGTCAGAGCTGGACTTACTTCGCTGCGAACCCTAGGAATTCGTCGAGGCTCTGCTGACACAGCTAATACATGACTTGTGGTCGTACGACATACAACGAGAACACTGGCAAGTAATACTGATCCACCGTCTTCAGCCAGCCAACATCGTCGTGGGAGTGAGGGACCAAGTGAATGTTGACCAAGTTTGGTTTTGTTTCAGGACAAGACTGTGTATCGAGAGGTGGTAGATTATTGCAGTACATCTGGCTATGGAAATCCAGAACTATTATTTACCTCATAGCCACAGACAGCCCCAGTTGGTTTTGTGTCGATTGCCAAGAGTAAGAAAAATGTTAAAATGCAGCCGAAATATTTCATTCCAAAAAGTTACCACTAAAATTTTGCTTTTATATGGGAGAACTGTGGTGTGGGCTATCAAATGTGAGTTGATACTCAATGAGAACTGGACATATCTTGGAAAAGTTAATGTGAATGTCTTAAGTTATGGTCGGTACCACTGAAATTTGAAAATTCAAAGCATCCAATTTATATCGTTAGGATATATGAAAATTAAAATTTGAAAATATAAGTTAAGAGCAATGTTTTATGAGGTATGAAATCAATTTAATGGCATTGTTTTCAAAATCAATATTACATTTTTGAAATTATGAATTTATACATAAATAATTCTTATTTCTATTTACTTTTCCTGATGATGAAAGTGCGAATTTGCATGGGGTTCAGGATGACGCTAAATTTGGAGGCATCCATAGAACTGTCGGCCGACAGAGGCTTGTGCGCAGCTGTGTAGTACTCGGCCTCTGTGGATACCGCTCCGGATTCTTCCGCATGGAACTTGAATCGTTTCATCTCGCTCAGTGGCAAGTTTCCATCCAAAGTGGTCTCTCGGATTGCCACACCGCCCACGCCATCGAAGATCGGACGAATGTTAAAGCTAACCACATTACCCTCAATGTGATCCAAGAAGTTTTCGACTCGCAGCAGAATCTCATCATCGGTGAAGGGCTCCAAGGTGAGGAGATGGACCGACTTTGGCAATAAATTAAAGTCGGGCAATGGTTTGGCACCGGAATTCCTGTTAGCTTTGCTGTAACTACTGAAAAACTTCCAAAAGGGCAAATGAATCTCCTTCTCGGATAAACGCTCAACGAAAGTACTTTTCTTTGCCAGAGCATGGAGAATTAAAAACAATTTTCCATGTGCTATACGACCTGGATCTAAGTCAGAATCAAACAAGTCTGCGACACTTTGAACCTCATTAGTGGAAAGGACACTGCGATGCAGCATGAGCTCCAGCTCTCCGTCATTCATGCTCGTTCCGCCTTGAGAGCGATCGTTCAGCAGGACCATTCGCTTCTTATTATCCTGCAGGTAAATGCGGGATGTGACTGGATAATAGTTGCCGCTAGTCGGCTGATTCTCCAAGTCGGGTGTGAAATCTTCGCGCTTGTCCCTTTCTCGTTTAATTGTCTGCCGACCATTGGAGTCAGTGTAGAAGATGCCATCCGATGAGATTCCACTATCAAAAACAGTGGCGACCTCTTTTGGGTTGGTCTGGGGTATAGGACCGATCAGCCATTCAAACTCCACACGATTGACACCCTTATAGATCCGAATGACCTGGGAGATCCACTCGTTGAACTCTTGGTGCACTTCCTTCACCAAATCCCCATCATATACGGCGAGCTTCACATCGTTTGACAGCACACTCATAGGTTCATCCTCACGGAAGCTATAAAGGCACGATCCTTTTGTCTTGTACACTCCAAAGTTCTGCTCAATGTCCTCAACAACTCCGTTCATCTCAACGGTCTTAAGCAGCCCCGAGTTATTGTCAATCACCAATTTGATCAGCGACGTTTGCAATACAGTTTCGGACTCTTCGTCGTTGTTGGTTACAACCTTCTTCAATCTCTTGGGCCGAACAATTGCATTGCTTTTTCGCCTAACGACCTTCTTGATGTAGTAGCTGGCAATCTTCTTCACGGATGCCTTAAACACGAGCTCGTGCTGAGTGTTGTTCTTACGGAATCTCAGAGCCAGGACTTGCCAGGCCACTGGCACCACCTCAGAGGCCACCAGGCGTCCCTTTTCGTCGGTCACCTGGTAGTTCTCCTCCTTCACGGGTACTCGCACATACTGTGAGGAGGTGTGGGCCAATGGATTGAACAGGGTCACCACCACATTGTCCGCACTGTCCTGGGTGAAGGCGCATTCGCTGATGTTCAGCTGCAGGCAGCTCTCGAACTCCCCCTCTGGCAGATTGGTCAGCACTCGCAGGGCATCTCGAGCATTTCTGGCTCCTCCGATAATGCCATCATAGAGCAGTCGATCGTAGTCGTTGGACACCGCCTGCTTCTCCGTCCCTGTAATGGCAGCGTGGTTCTGCATTACACCCATTATTTGGCGAAGGTAATCGAGGTCTTCCTTCTGTTGCTCACTCTTCAGATCGGCAAAGACACTGAGCTGCTTGGCAGTCTGCAGCATGTGGTTGCCATCGCGCTCGAAGCGTTTTTGGGTGGGTCGAGAGGTGTAGTATCCTGTCCAGAAGCTGTTGGAGTCGCTGGCATAGGGGAAGAAGTCCTGCGTCTTGTTGGGGTAAGATTGTAGGCCCTTATGCAGAGAGTTCAGGTAGCAGCCGGGCGTGGAGTAGAAGATATTGTAGTGAGATCCATTAGCTTGCCGTGCGTTGACATATCTGAAAATTGGAGCTATTTTTTCACCATATTTCAATCATATTTCAATTAATCTTACTTGATCAGCTTGTCCATGTTCTTGTAGTTTATATGGGCGTCTTCGTACTGGAAGTCCCCGCCCAAGGGTATCATGATGTGGGTCGTGCGGAACTTTGCAGCCACTTTAGCTGCATAGGCAAGGAAATCGTCTACCCTGGTTTGGACGTTGTTGTCGTAGCTGTCTCCGTCGATAATTGGATCGTCCCTGCAGAGCACGTCGAAGCAGAAGCCAGAAGTCTCCCAGTAGAAGGAGTAGAGCAGACCAGTGAAGAGCTTCGCATCGCTCAAGGACTCGCTGGCATCCCAAATCATTTCCAGTGAGAGTTCCTCCATGCGCTTGGCCTTATCTTTGGGATCCATGCGGGAGAAGAACTCTCCGTCGTAGCCCATTTGAGCAAACATCGAGGCCTGCTCACGGGAATGACCAAAAGGATCGATCTGCCAGCCGACTCGAGGACGGGCACAAGCGCCAAAAGTCTCATTCAACCATCTAAAATAGAAAGTTTGATGGGTGCACTTCTATTCGGATTAACACTTACTTTAGACCCTTCCATTTGACTAGTTAGTGCGAGACTATTAACTGACGACGGAGTAGCAAGTACGAGGTACGAGGCGGTCGCTTGTGGTCTGCTGGAAGCAACTGGTTAAAGAACTGTGAAACGGCGTGACGGAGACTGACAAGGACGGTGGTAAACCGTTTCTTCCGTCAGAGCTGGACTTACTTCGCTGCGAACCCTAGGAATTCGTACTCCGAGACGACTGTGTCGATTATGTACTGAACACCAGCATGCTGTATGTTGCTCTTGTGACCGTAGTAATACTGATCCACCGTCTTCAGCCAGCCAACATCGTCGTGGGAGTGAGGGACCAAGTGAATGTTGACCAAGTTTGGTTTTGTTTCAGGACAAGACTGTGTATCGAGAGATGGTAGATTATTGCAGTACATCTGGCTATTGAAATCCAGAACTATTATTCACCTCATAGCCACAGACAGCCCCAGTTGGTTTTGTGTCGATTGCCAAGAGTAAGAAAAATGTTAAAATGCAGCCGAAATATTTCATTCCAAAAAGTTACTACCAAAAATGTTGGGACCAAACTAATATATTTTTAGAGGCTTTTAGGACTGTAAGAAGCAAGAAACAGAAAATTTTTTTATTTTTATTTGGGAGAACTGTGAGTTGATAATCAATGAGCACTGGACGTACATATATTGGAAAAAGGAAAGTTAAATGATGCTTAAAAGCAAATAAGTATTTTGTGAGTGCAACTCGCATAAGGATCTATTCTATTCTTGAGCAACATAAAGTAATGAAAATTAAAAATAGAAGTCGATTGAATTGAGTGCATTGCTATTCATCGTATTAGAAGAGTGCCATTATCTGTGGTTGCGTTTGTTAGGCTCGACAAAGCAAAGTCTTGTCTGTCATATCTGTTAATAGTCAGTAGGTTGAAGGGCTGTCGATGTTCCTAACAGAATAACTTCTGAATCAGAAATGGTTTGCTATCTTTATACCTTCATTCTGGCTATAATAGTTATCCAATCTGACATTCGCTCGTTGAGGCGGTGTAAGGGGGAGAGACGAAATTTTAAAAGTCTCCTGTATTCCAGCAGTCTGGATAAAATATATAGTTGCTCTAGCGCCTGTAGGCTCTGAGAACTAGCAGTCAAACAAGGTGGACAGACGGACATGCAGAATGAATACAGTTATGTCCAGTGGCAACCCGCCCTTCCAGAATATTTGTTTATGCTTTTTTATTCATGCTCATGCTGTCTCGCTCGCACACTCTGCCACAGTCTGCATCTCTGCGGGAGGGTGACGAGCTTAAAGGGTGTGTTGGCGGGAGAAGTGATGTAGATGTAGATGTAGATGACAGATGTATCCAAAATTTAAAATGTAGAATGTTTAAAAACGTTTTTAAAAAAGTTGTAACACAATCACTTCATATACTTGAAGAAAAACAGTAAACGGTAGTGTTGGTACCTTTAATTTGTAATGGCATATTTATGTACAACTGACTGAGTACTGGGAATAAAAGTCGTGACGCGTAAGGCGCGTCTCACAACGTTGCTTCTCCTTTCCTCACCATTTCATGACATTTTTCACATTAACAAGATCGCAATAGAGTTTCTAAATTATTTCTTTTTCTTGATGATAAAAGTGCGAATTTGCATTGGGTTCAGGGTGACACTGAACTCGGAGGCCTCCATAGAACTATCGGCCGCCAGAGCCTTGTGCCCAGCCGTGTAGAACTCGGCCTCTGTGGATACCGCTCCGGATCCTTCCGCATGGAACTTGAATCGTTTCATCTCGCTCAGTGGCAGGTTGCCATCCAAAGTGGTCTCTCGGATTGCCACACCGTCCACGCCATCGAAGATCGGACGAATGTTGAAGCTAACCACATTGCCCTCAATGTGATCCAAGAAGTTTTCGACTCTCAGTAGAATCTCATCATCGGTGAATGGCTCCAGGGTAAGGAGATGTACCGACTGGGGGAAGTCATCGAAACTGGGAAGGGTCTTGGCCACAGCGCTGCTGCTCTGACTGCTTCCCTTGCTGAAGAACACGGAGAAGGGAAGGAGGATCTCCTTCTCGGCCACACGCTCCACCTTGGTCGATTCCTCCACAGAATTTAGGATCAGATAGACTTTTCCGCGTGCAATGAGAGGTTTGTCGTACTTCTGCTCGTTGAGGACTTCGCTCACACCATATCCATCGTCCCGAACAAGACGACGGTGGAGCATGAGCTCCAACTGTCCGTTTTGCATGCTGGTTCCACCCTGGGCACGATCGTTGAGCAGAGCAATGCGCTTGTTGCTGTCCTCCAGGGCAATGCGGGAGACGATTGGGTAATAATTTCCACTAATTGGCTGCCTGCCTAGATCAGGGTTAAAGTCCTCTCGCTTATCCTTTACACGCTTGATCATCTCGCGCCCATTGGAGTCAGTGTAGAAGACGCCGTTCGAGGAGATTTCGCTATCGAAAACTGTCACAATTTCCCTGGCGGTATCCTCGTCAGTTGGAATGGGCCCGACGAGCCACTCGAACAGGTGTGCCAACTGTGGGAGCATCTACGCTTACTGGACCCTCTAGGTAAGCGACTTGACGACTACCTGAAGGAAGTGGTCTCGAGGTAGCATTTGACACTTGAGGTGGAACAGAAGGTTCTTAAAGTCTAGTTGCAGAAGGAAAACTGCCTTCTGTATTCGAGGCCTAAGTATACAGAGTATTTACCGTTTCAAGAGGTCAATAGCCTCGGACACTCCGTTCATCTCAACGGTCTTCAGGCGACCCGTATTATTGTCGATCACCAATTTGATCTCCGATGTCTGGACCACAGTTTCGGAATCATCATCGGCGTGAGTCTCCACATTCTGCATGGAATGGACCTTCTTAAATCGCTGGGGCACCTCCAAGTTCTTTTCGTTTTGCTTCACCGACTTTTTAGCAGCCTTGGGCAGGACAATTTCCTTGCTCTCTACCTTGTCGACCTTCTTGATGTAGTAGCTGGCGATCTTGTTCACGGATGCCTTGAACACGAGCTCGTGCTGAGTTGTGTTCTGGCGGTATTCCAGAGCCAGGACTTGCCAGGCCACTGGCACCACCTCAGAGGCCACCAGGCGTCCCTTTTCGTCAGTCACCTGGTAGTTCTCCTCCTTCACGGGTACTCGCACATACTGTGAGGAGGTGTGGGCCAATGGATTGAACAGGGTCACCACCACATTGTCCGCACTGTCCTGGGTGAAGGCGCATTCGCTGATGTTCAGCTGCAGGCAGCTCTCGAACTCCCCCTCTGGCAGATTGGTCAGCACTCGCAGGGCATCTCGAGCATTGCTGGCTCCTCCGATAATGCCATCATAGAGCAGTCGATCGTAGTCGTTGGACACCGCCTGCTTCTCCGTTCCGGTGATGGCATCGTGGTGTTGCATTACTCCCATTATCTGGCGAAGGTAATCGAGGTCTTCCTTCTGTTGCTGACTCTTCAGATCGGCAAAGACACTGAGCTGTTTGGCAGTCTGCAGCATGTGGTTGCCATCGCGCTCGAAGCGTTTTTGGGTGGGTCGAGAGGTGTAGTATCCTGTCCAGAAGCTGTTGGAGTCGCTGGCATAGGGGAAGAAGTCGTCGGTTTTGTTGGGCCAAGTCTGTAGCCCCTCATGTACGGAGTTCAGATAGCAGGCCGGGGTGGAGTAGAACAGATTGTAGGTGGAGCCGTCCGCTTGGCGTTCGTTGACGTACCTAGGTGGGACTGTGAATATCGGGGCATCAGCTCAAGTCTAGTCTGTAATGCTTACTTGATGAGCTTGTCCATGTTCTTGAAGTTAACTTGAGCATCTTCGTACTGGAAATCATCGCCCATGGGTATCATGATGTGATTGGAGCGGTAGTACTTGGCCACATTCGAAACGTAGCTGAGAAAGTCGTCCACTCGCGATTTGACATTGTTGTCGTAGCTCTTGGCATCGATGATGGGATCGTCGCCGCAGTGCACGTCAAAGCAATAGCCGGGAGGTGCCGAGTAGTGGCGGTAGAGCAGGCCAGTGAAGAGCTCATCGTTGGTCAGCGACTCGCTGGCATCCCAAATCATTTCCATGGCCAGATTATCCAATCGATTGTTCTTGTCCCTGTGATCCATGCGGGCAAAGAACTCTCCATCGTAGCCCATTTGGGCAAAGATCGAGGCCTGCTCACGGGAATGACCAAAAGGATCGATCTGCCAGCCAATGCGGGGACGGGCACAGGCGCCAAAGGTCTCATCCAACCATCTAAAATGATGGTTAAATGGGTTTATTTCACGGCTAATGAATACTTACTTCAAACCCAAGGAGAACTGATCAATCACACTCTGATAATTGACTGCTGCTTCGTCGTTCATGCTCCAGGCTCCACCAGCGAACACCAGACGACCTTCGTTGACCAATTTCTTGACACTTTGCCGCACTGCCTCTGACTGTTCCTGCCACCATTTGGCAAAGAAGGCAGTCTCGACCTGAATGAAGCGACGCTTGGGATCCTTAAGCAGCTCCGAGACGACTGTGTCGATTATGTACTGAACACCAGCATGCTGTATGTTGCTCTTGTGACCGTAGTAATACTGATCCACCGTCTTCAGCCAGCCAACATCGTCGTGGGAGTGAGGGACCAAGTGAATGTTGACCAAGTTTGGTTTTGTTTCAGGACAAGACTGTGTATCGAGAGGTGGTAGATTATTGCAGTACATCTGGCTATGGAAATCCAGAACTATTATTTACCTCATAGCCACAGACAGCCCCAGTTGGTTTTGTGTCGATTGCCAAGAGTAAGAAAAATGTTAAAATGCAGCCGAAATATTTCATTCCAAAAAGTTACCACTAAAATTTTGCTTTTATATGGGAGAACTGTGGTGTGGGCTATCAAATGTGAGTTGATACTCAATGAGAACTG